ACCGCAGGGAGTGCGTGCACACAGCAGACAGTTAGTCTTCTCACCCTTCCCATTTCCCTTCGCATGTTCGCATTGTCACTCTTACATTTCCTGTCATCCTTCCGCGCCAGTTTGTATCCGATGGCAGCCGCGAGTGCCGCAGCCAGCTCGGCTGGCCATCCGCCAATACCCTCCTTCATTCTGGCGGACGACGAACGAGACCTCCGCAACTGTCCGAAGGCGAGCAGCGTCTCATCGACGGCATGATCTCCAACATGGAAAACCCTGAGGAGTCATGTTGGTTTCCTGAGCGCCACGGTAGATCAGGTTTCCCTGAAGGCCAACCACACCGAGTCCGAGCTGTAGAAGCTTGCGGAGGATATGACCGTCTTCGGCGGCAGGCTGAACGTACCCGAGCAATGGCGACCAATTGCGGGCATAGGTTCCGCAGGAAGGGCGTCTTCGGTCGGAGGCGTTTTCACGGTTTCTGAAACTCATACCGCCGCCAGACTCCGTGTCATCAAAGGCAAGACAATGTGTGTCGGAGGCTTCGCGTATGCAGAAGGCTCGAAATTGCAGGCCGATCTCATCGCCAACCTCGAGGCTCTTGGCTACTCCGTTCAAAACCTTCAGATATCCAACGTCTACGCAGATGGCGGCTTCTCCGAGCGCTGCAAGATAGAGCTTCCCCCGGGCAGCCACAGGTGGAACTTCCGGAACGACATGAAGGGCCACTAGATACCCAGTCGTTTCGTTTCCAGTGACCGCCCACCTCAAGTTTCGGGAACCCACAACACTCGTGAGTTGTGGCATATGATACCGGAGAAAAACCCCAACCCGATTTGTTTGATCTTCCAATTGCTCCTTTATAGGGCTACATGGGCTATCGGGCTATAGGGCTATAGGGCTTTAGAGCTATCGGGCTATAGGGCTATACGACTGTGACCTATAGGGCCATAGGGCTATAGGGCTATGGGGCTATAGAGCTATATGGTCTATGGGGCTACAGGGATATAAAACTATTAGGGCTATAGGGATATAAGGCTATAGGGCTACAGGGCTATAGGGCTATACGGCTATAGGGCTATAGGGATATAAGGCTATAGGGCTACAGGGCTGTAGGGCTATACGGCTATAGGGCTATACGGCTATCAGGCTATAGGGCTACTGGGCTATTGGGCTATTGGGCTTTTGGGCACCCCCAGGCACCCCCGAGCACCCCCGGGCACCCGGGCACCTGGGCCCGGCCACCGAAATTGGCCACGCACCTCACTGGCCACCCGGGCACCCGGGCCCAGCCACCGAAATCGGCGACGCACCTCATTTAACCTTTTAATCCGCTAGGACCTCTACAGAGGCAAGCTCTGATTGGGGAACAATCGACAAGCACCCAGATGGAATTGTGTGGTCGGCCAGGACTAAGTTCGCTCGTGGTGTTGTGGTATAGGATTTGAAGAAGTTCGACCCATCGCTCTTCCTGATCAGCTCGAGAAGGCAGTGGGCACCTCGCAAGACATGGGCAGCGTGGTTTTGCTCCGCAAGCACATCCAGAAGTGCGCCTGCGATGCCCCCTCTCAGGCTCTACACGTGCACCTTCCCGACGTGCAACCTGCGGGTCGTTCCCGATGCTCATCAGGTCCCCACCGCCATGAACACGCGTCCCATCGTCGCTGCTGAGTTCTGTAGCTTTGACCCCCAGAAGCCCCGACAGGTCACCGGACTCATGGGCCCCTACAGCGGCTCCCATGGGGGCGCGACGGGCGGCCCTTACGAACCCCTCCAGGAGTGCGTCTGCGAGCTGCCTGGGGACGGGGGGGGGCGACCAGTGCGGTGTGACGTGCTACGGCCGCGGGGCCCTCATGGCTTATCCGCGTCACCATCCTAGTCATCAGCATCGGGTACCTGCGCGCATGTTAGTCATCACCAATCAGCGCCTGCAGTGCATGTCCACATTCAAGAGTCAGGCTGCCGCTAGGCGTCATGTTGCCCATTCTCTACGATCTGGTCGGCGCCCGTGTGACCTGGGCCCCTGCGAACCTAGAGTCCAAGAGCCCGAGGACCTTATGCCACCAGGCTCGAGACGACTCGAGCGGCGTGCTTCTCTTCCCGACCTCCAGCGTCACATTCAGGAGGTGCGCGCGCCTCCGCCGCCAGACATCGTTTCGACCGAGTGGGATGGACCTGGCGCCCCGTGCCGTCGGCCAGCAGCCCGCGGAGCTCGACGACGCGCTGCGGTCTCGCAGCGGAGGCAGAGGCGCGCGGGGACGACGCGAGAGACGCCAGCCAGTGGGAAGCCGGGGTCGCGGTGGACACATGCCCCACGACGCGCGGCCAGCGGCGCTGACGCAGGGCCCAGGGGCCCAGGCGGCGGCCACCGCCGCGAGCGGCCACCGCCGCAGCCGCCGCCGCCGCAGCCACAGCCACAGCAACAGCAGACACAGCAGGGGCTCAACCAGCAGGGAGTTTCGAACGCACTCAGCCAGCTCTTCCAGAACGCAGACGTGACGCACGGATGGCAGCGCAACGGCGTCATGGGACGAGGCGAAGAAACGCCCCCAGTCGAGCTCATCCAGGCTCTCTTCCCCGCGCTCGTCCGCGCAGTCCTGGAAAACGCGCAGAGCCTGGCAGCTCTTGAGGCAGCGACTTACCGCATCGTTCACTTCGACCGAGATCACCGGGCGCGCAAGGCCATGGGGGCGACAGCCAAGTATGACGTCGACGGGGCCAACCTCAACAGGCGCGACAATCAGCAGCATCTTCGAGACCGACAGCCCGTCCCAGAGTTGGACGCTGTAGGAGCCCCACATCCGCATCTGTGGCCCGCATTGGTCGGAGGAGCCGCCCAGCAGGGGCAGCGCGTTGGAGTCGTCAACCACGCCGCGCTGACGCAGCGCGTGGACCAGATCAAGGGCGACCCGAGTGTCGCCGGCGAGACGCTCTGCACGCAACCCCGCCGCTACAGGATCTCGCTCGCGCACGCCCGCAAGCTGATGAAGATGCACGTCGAGGCTCACGACGCTGACGTGCAGCTGCAGTTGCTAGACTCCGTGAAGCAGTTCGGGGCCAAACTCATGAAGGGGGCGCAGCCGCACTCGCACCAGGAGCGCCTGACGCAGATTTTCCTGGACGGGGCAGAAGCGCGAGCCCGACGGCTCGCGGGTAAGGATTCACGGGGGCCGGGTGCTCTTCGAGCCCAGCCCCCATTTCGCGTCGCCACGGCCTCGGAGGCCAGGGCGCCCGACAAGGCTCGGAATCGCCATTCGTTTTGCTGAAGCTCGATGGTCACGGCGCCCGCGAGGGCTCCGAGTCGCCATCTGTTTAACTGAGGCTCGAGCGCCAGGGCGCCCGAATGGGCTTGACTCGCCATCGGTTTTGCTCGGACAGCTCGAAATCGGAGTGGCGAGAGTGCGGGCGATACAGACTACCAGCACAGAGATCTTGATACGACCACCGCAGGCGCCAGTCTCCACGACGGCACGACAGGCGCGGAGAATGGGAAGTTAGCTGTGCTCCACGGGACTGCTGACTCGCACTCCGAGTCGCCAGACATACCCGCCCAGTGCAACACTGACTGCACCTTCGGCTACTCAGAGGCTAGCGCTTCCAGCCCCGATGGTCCCGAGTGCGACGGAGACAGCTGCCCACTCGTCTCGCTGCACGATATGCCTGGGAGGAAGGAGTGAGAGGGAGCTAGCCAGACAGTCGAGACAGTCGACGTCGAGAGTTGACGAACCGCAGCAGGCGGCGGGGTCACACCTCCCCCCTTCCTCTTCTTTCGTCCCTCCGAGGTCGTCGTCGGCCCCCCCTCGCCTCACCTCCTCTCTAGCCAGCATCCTGAGACTGATTGGAATGGCTCCAAGGCGGGACCCCTGAGGTCTGTTCCTGGCCATGGCGCTTTGGGTCTTGTTTTCCGTGGGATGTCAGTCGTGGACCTGGTCCGTGGGTGCTGGCCTGTTTCGTCTCTTTGGTTCCTGCTGTGAAGAATTTGCCCGCCCGCCTGTGATGGTAGCCCCATAGTTTTGTCGAGGTCTGCCGCCTCTAGCCACAGGGATATGTCCGATTTGTTGGCAGAGGAGCGCACGAGCCCCCCCGCGTGCTATGCGCCGCTTTAGAGCGCATTCGAGGTGCTTGGGCCTGTTTCGAAATCTTTAGCATCGGCCGAGCATTGACCCGTGTCCTTGATGAGCCCGCCGCCGCCGCCCTCTCTGTGCCAAACGGGGTCGGTGTGCGCGGCCCCCCTGCGGCGGAAACCCGCGCCGTGGCAAGGGGCGGCATTGCGACGCGCCGCCGCGTCCTGCGCCCGGTGCGCGGCAGACGCGCCCTTCGCATTCGTGCTTGCAGTCGGCCCGCGTGCACCTCCGACCTCCGTCCCCGCCTCGCCCCCCCGCGCGCCCATGCCTGGCGGCAGGTGCGCCTCCGTCTCCTTCGAGTTCCCTGCCCTCCGCATCCTGCACCTCGCCTCCCCCCCCGCCTCTCCCGTCCGCCCCCTTCGGCCCCCCCCGTTTACGCGTCCTTCCTGCGCCCCCCATCCTTCTTCGCGCGCACCCTCCACATTCCTATTCGCAGAGGGCATCTGTGCACTTCCACCAGGGCCCGCCAGGCATGGTTTTTGCGGTGGTTTCAAAACGCTTGAAGTGAACTGTGGTAATGCACCGGCGCTTTTGCTTTCTTGGAACGAACGTTGATGCAGACGGTGTCGTCTTCCCACTTTCTCGAAGTCTCCCCTTCCGCTCATCCTCGTGATGTTGGTGATGATGTTGCCGTTGCTGTTGCTGCCGTTGTTGTTTCTTGCTGTCCTGATCCTCGTCTTCATTGTCATCGCTTAAGTTTTGATTCCTTGTCCTCTCCCCCTTCGCTTCTTGCCCTCGACCACGTGTTGCTTAACATGTTATGCGTGTTCTTTATACATATATCCTAGTTATTTGTCTTTTTTTCGGATCACGCTTCAGTTGCTCATTATCGTCCTCTTGATCATGCCTGTATTTCACTTGTACGCTTGCAGTTTTTGTAGCCCTTTCCTTCTTCCGATCATGGTGTTTGTCCCTGTTGCCCATCCCATATTCGAGTTGTCTTGTCTCGTCGCCGGAAGCCATTCCCCTGGCCGTGGGTTCTTTGAACATCATGCCCTTGCCGACCCTCCCAGAAACACTTCCGTCTTCCGATCTCCAAGCGAAGCTAGGAACTCCAAGCTCAAAGTTCAGCAAGGAGTTTGGTGAGAGCAGCGCTGACACATCTGCAGCGCACATGACATGGCGGCGCAGAAATTGGCAGCACTGTATAACAACCAACACAGCGTTTGAAACACCGACCTGCTATGATAAACCCGTTTCGCACCATGGCCGCCGTTTATAGTGTTGCAACAGTCCCTCCTTGAGCCTTCCAAAATGAATCCCGACTCACACGCGCATTCTAAGCTCAAGTTGAAGCAGCCAAACGCAGTGCAACTGCAAGGCAATTTTCACTAATATTACAACGCACGCATGCAGCTCACAAGTATACATGCAGTGGCAATTCTTGCCATGGAAACATTCGTCGTCGTTCGCATCACGGTCGGTTGTGGTCTGACACAATGTTTTCCTTGAGTCGATTCGCGCGCGTAATCATGTTGAATCAGCAAGCTACAACCCAAAACCAATGGCATTGCAACAGAACTCTGATACTGTTCTGGAGTGTGTTTCGCAACATGGTCGTCTGCGCGTTGCCAACCCACGCTCACCAGGCCTCCCCGACGCCCTCTCGACTCACTCGCGCAATCCGATGCTCTAGTTGACGCAGCCACACGCATAGGAAAGAGCACGCAGTGCTTGAAACACACGTGCTGCACTGCCAACTCATGTTGCAACGCAGCGAAACTATAGAAGCTTCGCGTATCCCTACCACCCCATCCAGAAACGATGTCCAGACGTTTTGAGGTGATCAGGGGAGTGCAGGAGCAAAGAGGTGGACGGCCGAACCGTGCGAAGGAGGGAGGAGGAAAAGGAGGAGGCTGGATGGATGGACGAGGGAGTGGGGAGAAGGAAGATCTATTTTTACTCGACGAAGGAGCTCACGAGGCCTCTGAAGAGGGGTGACGTACACTCGGGCCGAGCTGTCGCAGGACCGTTAGGCCTTTGGAATTGGGGTGCTGCGCAGGCATGGGGCGATCGCACACGCGCATCAGACGCGGGGGCGGGCAATAGCATGCTGCGGGTCTCATCTTCTCAGAGAGGGTAGCTGAGCTAATCTGATTGGGCGTCCCAAAACCGACGACGCAATCTAGCAAGTCCTGACCCGCGACGCCCTCTGATTAGGCGTCCTCATCCCATGGCCATCGTTCTGATGACACGGATCGACCTCGGGGTTGTGGCGCTCGGGACTGGTTTCTTGGGATCACTGCCCCGCGAACAAAGACGATGGGCTGTCTTACTTCGTGAGGACCTCGAGCCATGTCGCCACTTCGTCCTCGAGCCATCCCGCGGGCATGACTCCTGTCATCCTGGTCGCGATGCCCTCGGCCTGGAAGGCCCACGTGATCGTGCCCCTGAGCGGCCACTGCGGCGCGGCGAGCAACAACTTGACTTTGGTGGTGTCGTGGGGGGTCTCGAGCTTCACCGCGAGCACGTCTAGTTCGATCAGCATCTTCTAGTGTGGGTGGGGCTCTTCCTGGTGGCTCGATCTGATCGAGATTCTCGTTCAATTTATTTTTGTTGGCCCCCCCTACGTCGCACTGCGTGAGAGTTTCGATCATCGTGACCGCCAGTGAGGCTGTGGGGCGGCCAACCGCTCGTAACTTCTCGATCCCCTCCTCCCTGGCGGCCGCCACCGTCTTCCTGTACTGCTCTAGTGCGTCCTCCAGCGCATTGGCGACTGGATGATCCTTCGGCATGGTGAAGGTGTCTACTACGGTGGCCATGGTGAGCCTCTGCCGCTGCGCTGTCTGGAGCACCAGCTTGGTGAGGCTGAGTAGTCACTCCTGCAAGTTGCTGTCCTTGCTCGTCCACTTCTTCTCGGTGTGGTTGCCCTTGCGGTGGCGGCGCCCGCCGCGATGACTCTTCTTGTTGCCGTCGCTCTTGCCGCCCTCTCCCTTGCCGCCCTTGCCCTCCCCGGCTGGGGCTGAGAAGGAGCAGGAGGAGGAAGGAGGAGCAGGAGGAGGAGGGCAAGCAAAAGGGCTACAGGTCATTTGAGTGCCCCTCGGGGCCTCTTGGGGTATCTCATGGGCGCTTCTTAGAGACCTCTTGGGACGTCGTGGGGGGCTCTCGGCGGTCCTTGAGGGCTCTCGGGCGTCTTGGGTGCCTCGGGGGGGCCTTGGGGTCACTTGGGGTCCTCTTGGGGGCCTCCTGGGGGCCTCTTGGGGCCATCTTGGAGCCATGTTGGGGCCATCTTGGGGCCATCTTGGGCCTCTTGGGGCCTCCTGGGCGCCTCTTGGGGCCACTTTGGAGGAGATCAATCAAAGAAGGAGAGGGCCACACTTCGCGCTGCCCCTCGGGAGCCCCCAAAAAGGCCAAATTGTAACCAACACCCTAGTAACACCAATCAGGTTGGCTTCCTCGCCGATGTCGTTTTGGACGACGACCCGCGAATTGCCCCGTCCAGGTCCAGGGGAGGGGGTAAAGGGGAAGGCGTCACGCTACCCACCCGCCCGCAAGCCGTCTAGCTCACGCCTACCCGCCCTCCCAACGCACAACAAACACCCGAGCCTGAGCATGTTCAGCGGTCGTCTTTGAATGGACAGCTATTGGGAACCAACGCCGACCCCAGGTGCGCGACGCTTGTGCGAGGTGCACCACGCGTGCCAGGGGCGCCACGCGCGCCAGATGCGCCACGTGCTCCGAGTGCGCCAGGTGTGCCGCACACTTCAGCCGTGCCAGGTGCGCCACGTTCGGGGCACGTGCAGAGTGCTTCAGGTGCGCCTGCGCATGAAACAGCACACATCGGGAAACATGTCGGCCCCAACCGTCCTTGTCGAAAACCACGTGTGACATGTCTCACCGCCCCCATCATTGTGTCTGGTGGGCCTGCGCACAGCAGGCCACGCGCCACCCACCCCGCGGTTCCTGTTTAAAAACCATATGACAGTGATCGCGGGATGGCCGCGCGTATTCCAGATTTAGCCGCGACGTGCATGTTGTATTGTTTTTGTTGGCAGGGATGGTTGCCTTGCGCGCAGCAGGGAATCTGCTGACACCCCCGCCGTCCCTGTCAAAAAACATACAAAGTGCTCGCTGGCCTCACGAACATGACTCCAGACTTTGCCCCGAAGTGTACTTTGTATTGTTTGTTGACAGGGGTGGTGTGGGGGAGGTCGCATCGGTTTGGCCGCGCATGCTCCAGATGTAGAGGCCGAGTGCGGTTTGTATGGTTTTTGACAGGGGTGGTGGGGGGCGGGTCGTCATTGTTTCCTCATGGTTCTTGGTTGGACGCCAGTCGCCTTGGGGAGGAGGTGTATGTTAATAAGGAACAGTGAGACTGTAAGATGGTCGTCATGGCCCATGGCCGTTGGCGTTCTGGGTACCGCACCCTCCCTGACACGCCCCTAGCCTCTGTCGATTCACGCGACATCCGAAGCGAAAATCGGAATAGCCCACTTTCGATCTCCAGACGCCTGAGTTTCGGCTGAAGGCGCTTGCATGTTGTCTGCTTGGCGGCCCGCCGAACGCTACACGACTACCAGCTTTGATGCGCTTTTTTGCGCTTCCCCCCCACCCATCCCCCCGATCCTCTCCATTCTTCCCCGTGCTCTGTGGCAGGGCGGCGAGCTGTATTTCAGCCTCCAGGAGCGAGGCTTCGACCGAGGGGGGGGGAGCCAGGGTGTGTGTGTGTGTGTGTGTGTGTGTGTGTGTGTGTGTGTGTGTGTGTGTGTGTGTGTGTGTGTGTGTGTGTGTGTGTGTGTGTGTGTGTGTGTGTGTGTGTGTGTGTGTGTGTGTGGGGGGGGGGCGGTTAGAGCCAGCGAGGAAGGGGAAGATGTGAGGGGGGGGCAGGGGCGAGGGGGAAGGGGGGGGATGGGCGGGGGCGGGCAGTGGGCACGCACGTTCCCGCGTCCTGAGAACTTCACGACCGCATGTGTGCTGGCAGGGTTGGGCACCTCTGGGACCATCCTGGGACCCCGGAGCTATTGAGTGAGTGCGCTGGATGGAGAGGCAGGTTTGGAGAGGGTATACCGAGAGGTCCAGGGGTCAGCACGACGTCGGGGTTCTGGGGTTTGGGCAGGTAGGGGTGTGTGTGTGTGTGTGGCGGAAGGGGGGAGAAGGCGAGTAGGATGCGGACGGGGAGGCATAGGGGAGAAAAGAGGAGGGGGAGCGTGAAAGAGTGGTGATGGAGGCCGGAATGGGTGAGGCAGGAGGCGGATGGAAGGGGGGACGCGGGAGGGAACATGGGAGTCGATGCGAATGTTCTGAGGGGTGGGAGGGACGATGAGGAGGAGGGGGGATGGATGACCAGAAAAAGCAAGGACGCCCGATACCGAGATCAAGAGAACGCATCGATAAAACAAGGCACGCAGTTGGAGTCTTGAGGAGGAGGAGGCGGCTGTGGGCAGTGGGCGTTGGAGGCAGTGGTGTTCGACTCCTTGGCGGCCGCTGCCTCTGCTTCCGTTCTTCCCCCTGTGGTCTTCTCGCCTCGTCTCTCCGCTCTCGCTTCCGCTCTCCGCGACGACTGCCCGACCAAGGATGAGGAAAGAGTCGGCCACGCGCAGAGGGGGGAGGGGAGGGGGGACGGCGTCTTAGAAGCATCCCTGCTTCTTAGAAGGCGCTGGCCTTCTCTAAAGACGTAAGACCGGGGCCTTCTAAGAACCAGGGTGTTTCTACCACCACCCACCAAACCACCCAAACCCAACCCGAAGGCCTCAATTTGTCAATTTGCCCTCCATTTCCAGTGGGGGGGTGGGGTCGGGGGACATTGAGAACGCACATATGGTATCCGTACCCCCCCCCCCCAACCCGAAATTCGGGTCTTTGGGTTGGGTTGGGGTGGTCTGGCAGGTAGTTATCTCAAGATCAGGCGACCGCAAGCATGGATTAATGGGGGCGTGGACCCCCGATCCATGGATTTGGCGACCCCGCGCCAAGTCCATGGATCGCTAGTCCATGTCTGCGCGCCCCCGATAGAAAGCCTTTCCCCCTCCCCCTGCCCCCCTTCTGCGCGCCGCCAGAAGAGCGGCAGCCGCTGGAGCGGCAGGGTGAGATGGCCGCGGGCGCCCCCGGCTCGAGCTGGCCCCGCGGGCCCTCGCGACGCGCGACTCTGGGCGCCCCCCGCGACTCCCGCCCTCCCACCCTCCAGCAAGCAGTGGCGAAGCGTCTTGGCTCGCCTATAGGCCCACCAAACACCGTTCCAAGAACCTCTTCTGGTCTGCACGAAATGTTCTTAGAACATTTCTGGCTGAGACTGTCTTGCTTCAGTGCGTCGGGTTCACGTTCGAAGAACATTGTGTTTGTTTTCAGAACATCTGTGGGCTCTGAGAACATTTCGCGGTAGGCCTATAGAAATGCCAGGATTGTCGGTCCCTGCTCAACTTTATCCTTCCCTTCCCTTTCCCTCCACACTTACAGGGGAGAGCCATGCCAAGAAACATCTTGCTTGCCTCCAGGGTGTCCGGGGCTTCTGGGGCTTCGATTGTTTTGTTCTGGACAGCGTGTCGTTCCCACGCCAAACATCAGTGGCCGTCCTAGGGTCTCAGGCTTGGGTCTCTTGTGGAATGTTACTTGTGGCCGAGTCCCTACTGAACTACGCATCGGTCGTTGAAAGTAGGTACTTCTGGAGTCCCAGATTACAATCTACGTTCGACGCCTTCCTACTTCAAGGATCGAATGGCTTCACCTTTTCCGTCCTTGGAGGGCGGGCGGAGACCCAATCTGCTTTCGAAGCCTTCCCGCTTCATGGTTCTACCCATTTCTTCTCCCGACCGATGGGTACTCACTCGGAGTAGTCTGCTCTCCTCTCTCACCTGACTCTGCCCGGAAGATGTCCCGCCCTCTTCGTGAGTGTACTTGGCACCGTATTTCAACAGTTACCCTCCCGTATGCTTTTTCCAGTCAAAACGCTGTTGGTGTCTGAAAAATTTGTGCTCACGCTTCAGCGATGGCTTCCTGTTTGGATCGACGTTTTGCTCCCGTCGTTCAGAGAATGGCTCTCTCGCCCCAGCGCGGGCCACTCTTTTGGATCTGGGTGCTTCCTCATCGTGATCGCCCTGGTGCCCCTCCTCCGCCTTCCTTGGTCATCCTGCTCCTCCCGCTTCTCCCACTCCTGCGCTTGCCACCCGTCGGCGGATAGACAACAACCAAGTAGCGCAATGCATAAGGAAGGGATGGGTGTGAGGGACAGTGTGTCAGATATGGCCCGAGCGCACCTAGCTTGCCCCTCTCCCCGTCCCCCCTCCCCTTCTCTAAATCCCCCGTTCCTCCCCCCTCCATGCACTCTCCCCTCTTCTCTTCTCCATTCCCCTCAGCCTCCCTTCTCCCTTCTCCCTCCTCCCTCTGCCCACCGCCGTACGCTCTCCTCCCTCCTGCCCGCCCTTCCCCTTTTTAAAAGAGGAGGGAAGAGGAGAGGGATGGAGGGGACCCTCCTACCTCCTCCCCCCCTCGGCCCCGCTCCGCCTTCCCCCCCCAGCTCCTCCTCGTCCTCCCCCTCCTCGTGCTTCAGCTCCCTCCTCGCGATATCGCGCCTCGCAGATGGCTGCCCTCAGAGACCGCCACGCGGTCATGCTCAGGAGCGACGGCGCTCCGATGACCCGCGGCACTCCGGGGCAGCAGAAGCCTACAGGAGTATCGAACTTGTGTCTCCTCCTCCTCCTCCTGATCGTCGCCTTCTCCAGAAGCGTTTTTTGTTGTGGTTGTTGTGTGTTGTTTCTGGTGTTGTCCTTGACAACTGCTCAATATGAACGCGACTCCTTTCTCTCTCCCGGGGATGACAGGGTTTCAAACATTGTTTTGTTCTTACAAATTCTTGGTGCGTGCAATTTGTGTTGCCGCTGCAGCGATGGTCTCATTTTTTGATCGGTGCTTTGCTCCTGTTGTTCGATTTGGCGCTCTCGCCTCAGCGCGGGCCGGTATTTTCTGGCTCCGGGTGTTTCCTCCTCATGGCCTTCCTTTTGTTTCACCTCCTCCGCCTCGTCATAGTCTTCTCGCTACTTATGAACCTTCCGCTCCAGTTCCCGTTCCTGCTGTTCGTCCTCGTCCTCCTTCTCATTCCTCATCCTTCTTTTCCTCCAGCTCATCCTCCTGCTTATCCGCCACCTCGTCCTCCTCCTCCTCCCTCCCCTCCTATGTGCGCAAATCCCCTTCTCCGATTGCTCACAACACGAGGGTTTCTGTTGCGGGTTCCTGGTCCGTTATGACATGAGTTCGCGGTTAGAGACACATCGGCACAATTGGAAAAGATAGGCGGGATGGGTAGGATTTCAGATCTGGCGCGAGTGACCTGGCTTGTCCTTGCCATCTTCTTCCTCCCCCAGGCTTTCTCTGGCCTCGTCCTCATCCTCACTCCTCTTTCTCCTCTTCCCTCCCTGCTTCCCCCACCTCCCTTCCTCGCAGAGAGCCCAGGGGCCTGAAGATGTCGCGACACGCAGGGAGCACCTTGAGCCAGGAACACTTCTGACAACCCGCAAGATGGGTGGGTTGGGGTGTGGGGGTGGTGGGTGGACTCACCACCGGCCCCAGTGGTCCAGGGGGACGCCACCCGAGGTTTGCACGATCACGGCCAGTGCGACCTCTCCGCGCTGATCGCGGACCTGACGTAGACGCAGGTCGCCGAAGGAGATCGGCAAGACGGAAACGGTGTTCAGATGGCGTCGGCTACCCTGAGAGGGACCCTTCGCCACAATAACCTTTGGTGCGCGGCTCTCGGTTGAATCGAAGCATGCGGGCCGCCATTGTCGCATCGCGCGCATCGATCGGCAAGCCTCGCATCCTCGCATCACGGGGTCCTCTTGCCCAGGGTCTCTCTTGCGTGAAGTCGGTTAACAAAGGAGCCCCAACCAACACGTACTGCAAGTTGTTGGGTTCGTTTGATGCAGTCACAATGATCGTTGGGGGCGTGATTCGTTGAAGCACGACACCCGTGCAGACTTCGACTATGATCATTATCTATTTCCCCCCCCCCCCGCGACCATGCACCCAGACAGGAGACGGCCATACAGCTTTGCTCAGAGGCGATGGCCAGGCCGTAGCCTGCAGCTGGAACACGCATGGCCAGTGCGACGTCCCTGCGCTGGTCGCGGACCAGACCTACATGCAGGTGGCCGCTGGTTGGCGCCACACGGTCCTTTCAGGAGCGATGGCACAGCTGTCGCCTGTGGATGTAATCATCATGGCCAGTGCGACCTCCCCGCGCTGATCGCGGACCTTACTTTCACATATATTGCCGCTGGAGGGTACCATAAAAGTCCTGCTCAGGAGCAGTGGCACGGCCGTGTTGGTCGGCGGCGCCAATACTGAAGGGGAGTGTGACCTTGCTGCGTTGGCCGCGGACCTGACCTACACTCAAGTTGCTGCTGGAATGGGGCATGCAGTCCTGCTAAGGAGCGATGGCATGGCCGTGGCCTGCGGAGACAATGATCCAACAAGCTTTCGCAGCATCCGCTGATCCTCTTGCTCCAATCGCTCTTGGTACGCATGTGCTCTAGTCGGAGAGGAACAAGCAGCGTAAACATGAATTGTCGGAGCGCCACGAGGATTTCTAGGATCGGCGCTGGACCCCCCCTGGTGGCGCCTCCGACCCTTGGCGCGCTTCGCGTGCTACGGAGGGGGGCCCAGTTCCGATCCGATCTAAGACGTCCGCGCGGAGCTCCGACATTTTATGCTTATGCATTTTGCTGCACTCTAGTCGGACCTCCCCCCCATCAACGCCCCCATCAACGCCCCTCATCCCCCTCTATTCCCATCTCCCCTCCCGCCCACAGATCAGCCCATACACATCCGCCCAATGGGCTGGGGCCGAAAATCGTGGCGTCGTGGAGTGTCCCGCAGCGTGCGTGCTGGCTTTGTTGTTGCTGAGCTCTCAGTTCTGAAGAACAGTTACGGCAGGTTCGCGTCTTGTCGACGCAGCGGTGACCCCGCCGGCGGTATTCAACGTTGGACGCTGTTGGCGATCCATAATCGGTCGATGTTGAACGGCCTGACGTTTGGGAAATGGCCGATCGTCGTGGTGACAGAAACCAACGCCGAAGTCGGCACGACGCGAACCTGCCGTATGGTTCCTTCCCCCCTGTCCAGCGCCCATGTGCTTCTCAGGAGGGAACAATAGGCACAGACACACATTATCTTCGATGCCGCGGAAAATGTCGAATGGCCTTCGGCCCATCCCGCCACCGCACCTGGGTTGTGGGTGTGAAGCTTATTGGATGTTTGTTCGGATCTCGTGGGAGGCATATCCAGGGCCTCCTAGAGGCAGTTTTAACGCCTGTTGGGTGCTGGTTTGGGGCCTCTTTTGAGACCTCCTGGGGGCCTCTTGGGGCCGCTTGGGGGCCCCTTGGAGCCTCTTGGGCCCTCCTTGGGACCTCCTGGGGGCCTCTTGGGCGGAATGCTCGGATTGTAGGTTCGGGCTCCTTCCCTTCCTTTTGGGGCCGTCTTAGAGCCCTCTTGGGCCGTCTTAGGCGCCTCTTTGGCTGTCTTTGGGCGCTCTTAGGGTGTTGGGGCCCTCTTGGAGATGCCTTGGGCCGTCTTGGGGTGGTCTTGGGGGCCTCTCGGGCCGTCTTGGAGCTTCGGAGAGCAGTAAAGGCGATACCGCCCACATCCATCAAACGTAGAAGGACAATCCATGATGTTTGCCTCTTGGGGCGTTTTGGAGGCCTCTTGGGACGTCTTGGCTGTCTTGGGGGTCTCGGAGCGATCGTTGGGCGACTCGGGGCCCTCTTGGACCGTTTTGGGGGTCTCCTTGAAGCTCTTCTGGTCCGTATTCGAGCCTCCTTGGTCCGAAAAAAGTCACGCGAGAAGCGGCGGGGAGCGGCGCCAAGCCTCGAGAGTTTTGCCCCGAGAGAGTTGGCAGTTTGGGGTCCAGGTCCCCTGAACCTCAGGAGTGAAAAGTGAAGCTCAGAGGATTTGGCAAAGGGCCTGAGGACACGCCCACTCCGTGCCCAAGGGCACTCTGGCGGATAGGGAAAATGTTGGAAGTGGAAGGGAACACGGAACTTCCAATACATTTTGTAAACCAGTTGGAGTCCGGGAAGTTTTGTAGATGTGGTTGTGTGTGTGTGTTTTTGGACCCTTCTCGTTTCCCTCAATTGATCCCCCTCGTAGCTCTTGTTTCTTGTTGGATTGCGTCAGGGAAGTTAGTCTAGCTCAAACTGGGGCCCCGGGCACCCAGCTACGGCGACAGCTCCCGCCTGATACGTCCTCGCAGTTTTGTTCAAGATTGCACGCTTGCCTTAGAATTCGCAGTCATGTATCGAAGGAGTCGTGCTCCCGCCGCTCGGGAATCGCACTCTCGCTTGAGAGGTGTCTTTCTACAATATTCCAGGCTGGGAAACACTTTTTTTTGTCGGTCGCGTCCGCAAGCGAAAGCGCAGGCGGAGTCAGAAGCGGTCCGGGGCGCGGAAACATGCCTAAATAGCTACTGGGCGCGCCGCAGGCCGGCCGGGCCAGCTCACAAAGCAGCTGCTGTGCCGCGCGATGAGGCTGACAGGCTGGGAAAAACACGCAGACACAAGTAACCGTCGATTCCCAAGAACATAATTAAACATATGGGAAGTGGGGGGGGGAAGACGAAAACCTAGAAAATATAGGAAACTATGAGGACATCTGGGATTTGTGTATTTGTGTGTGTGTGTGTCTCTGGGCCCCTTTGAGTATGCTCAGGGAACGCGCTGTCGCCATTACCTTATTATTGTTGGGCAAGGATTTCCTCACAGTTCACCTCGGGCTCGGGCTGTCGCCCAATAGTCCTTACCGCCCGACCAGCCAGCCCGTGAGGGTCCGCCTGCGTCCTCTCGCCCGTTCGACTCGCCCGTTCGTTTGATTGGAAGCGCGCTCGTCAGTTTCAATGTGCCGCCCGCGTGACTGGCCCGTCAGGGCCCGCCCGACCGACCCACCCGTTCGGGTCTGCCCGTTCGCTTGATTAGAAGCCCGCTTGTCAGCTTTGTGTCCCACCCGCCCGTTAGTTAGGGCCCGTCCGCCAAGCCCGTTCGGGCCCGCCCGCCCGACTCCCCCGTGAGGTTCTGCCCGCTCAACGCGCCTGTTAGGGTCCGCCCGCCCGTCCCAAAGCGGTCGGCAATTATCCAGTAAGCGCAATGAAGACATGTGTCTCGTAAACAGGGGTGTACGTTTCTAGAGAGAGAGAGAGGGACAAAGAGGGCGTGTGCCAAGCAAGGGTTTGAGGTATACATGCTGGGTGACACGCCAGCAACTGAGAGCGAACACGTTGCTGTGTTGCTATTACTTGCTAACGTGTCCTGCTGATGGTGCTGCTTGGTGGTGCTGCTGTTGGTTGCGGATGTATGTTGTTGTCTTGAGCCTTCCTGGCGGGAATTTCAGGTCTCGCTAGGCATTCGTGCGATTCGTACGATCCTTTTTGGGGGTCTCTGGGGACCGTCTCGGACAGTCTTGGCGCATTGTTTGGTGTTTGGGGAGCTTCCATAAGCCTCTCGAGGCACGCCAGCTGGGAACTTCTTTTAGGCTATCTGGGTGGATCTCCGCGCGCTAAAACCGAAGCCATATACCGCGGGTGCGCCAGGAACGCAAGCTCACAGTATATGCGAGCAAGCGCTTTCGATGGAGTCGGTTGTTTGGGCCTCCAGTGGGGCCTCGCGTGCGCCTGTGCGGCGCTTCTGGGGCCTGCGGGTTGGGTGGCATGGCCCGCTTGCTAGGCCTTTCAGTGCTGGCTTGGCCTTCGACATGCCGTCTTGAGCCATCTTGAGGTTGTTTTGGGCCGTCTTGCGGCCACCTAGTGCCGTATTTGGGTCCTGCTTGGTTATGTAGGGACATGTTCATTGGGGATTGCGTAGGGCCAGATGGAATTCTTACACGCTTGGTGACCCGAAAGGGCATGGGGGACTATGGTGAGTGCGACGTCCCTGCGCTCATCGCGGACCTGACCTTCACGCCAGTTGCCACTGGATGGCGCCACACAGTCCTGCTGAGGAACGACGGCACGGCTGTGCCCTTCGGCTTAATTCATGATGGTCAGCGCGACGTCCTTGTGCTGGTCTCGGACCTGACCTACGCGGAGGTTACCGCTTGAGGGTACCACACGGTCGTGCTCAGGAGCGACGGCACAGTGGTGGCTTGTGGCTTCAACGATGACGGTCGTTGCGATTTGCGTTGGTTGATTTTGATTTCCATGGCTCACTTGTTTCCTGCGCTGGTCTAGCAGGCGTCGCTCGACGACGGTTGGATGTGCTTCGTGACCTTCGGTGGGGCGGAGCGATACAAAATCAGAGTTGGGCCCACCGCTCGCCTCGCGGACATCTATGACCAGCTGACGGCCCGCCATCCTGCGGGCGGGCTGGGACCTGGAATCTGGCGGGTCGACGCGATCCTGCCGGGGCGCCGGCTTCTCAGTAGCGCGTCGGCTGAGGAAACGGTCGCCAGCGTGTTCGGGCTTGCTGCTCCTCCTCCCCCTCATCCTACTCCCTCTTCTCCGAATGCCCCTGGGGGCCAGGACCCTTGCCAGTGGGTCTGGGTGGACAATTTCTGGCACCGCGCTGTTTACCTTGGAGCCTCGCCTCCGTGCTCTTGCTCGGCCGCGCCTGGAGGGCGCTTGCACCGCGATGCACGGCCTCGGCCGGGCCTGGCCAGGCTCGGAGCAGGCGAGCAGCTGGCGAGCAGCTGTTGCGGGCAGCTGTTGCGGGCAAGATTTACATCCACATCCGCTGCGTCTTGGAGTTTCTGGGAAGGGGTGCCAAGAGGCCGAGGTGCAGTGCATGTGGATACAAATCTAGCCCCTATAAGGGGCCAGACTTTAAAAACCATGTCCACTGCGCCTCTGGCTTCTGGGGAAGGGAGCCAACACTTCAAGACGCAACGGATATGGATGCAAATCTTGTCCACATTTAGGCCTCCTAGATGGCATCCGAGCAGATGGGTCGGAGGATCGCGCCGCATCGCCGATGCATCGGCGATGCATCGGCGATGCGGCTCGTTGTGGAGCCAACTGTTCTCCATGCAGGCGTCGCCGATGCATCGCCGACGTCGCCGATGCATTGCCGATGCATCGGCGATGCGGCGCGTTCCTCCGACCTCACCCACTCGGACCCCGTCTGGGAGGCGTCTACCGCAGCTGTGCTCTCGCCGACCGCGCCGATCGGCGCACCAGCGGTGCCGCACTGCCACGCGCGGGGCGCCGTGCCAGCGGAGCTCCGAGAGGAAGCCTGCCAAGGCGCGCCCCTGCCGAGGAGCGATCCCCGGGTCCTCCGTTGATGGGAAAGTTTGCCACCAACGGAGGAGAAGGGAGGTTGAGGAGCTCCTCCTCCTCCTCCTCCTCCTCCTCCTCCTCCTCCTCCTCCTCGTACAGTAGTGGTGGTGGAACATGGGCCCATCATCCGGGGAGGAAGAGGTATACCGGTACCCATGCCCCTCCACCGTTTTTGTGGAGCCTCCTGGGAGGCCCTCGTCGCCACGCCACGGGGGAGGTCCAGGGAGTAGCGGGTTATCGGTGCCTTTTGGTTTTTCCAGGTTTTGCAGAGGCCTACGCCCGGAGCGCGGCGATGCCTCTGGGCATCGAGGCCTGCCCCCGTCCAGCCGGGCTTCTGGCGGCGTCGGGCGCGAGAGGGGGCGCCCCCAGGCAGGTTGGAGCGACGGGGTGCCTGCCCATGTCATCCGAGCCGCGAGGGGTGGCGAGGCCCCTGGCTGAGCCCGGGCGAGACGGCGCCAGACGTGTCGCAATTTGGCTCGACTAGACGCAAGGGTAACTTTTCGCCGGAGTGACCTTTGGGTTTGGCCCCCCCGCGGCCTCCAAAAAGCCGCGCACCAAAGGTCTTACCCAGGGTCGTTCTTGCGTGTGTGTAGTCGATTGTCGTGCGACCGCTGCCGCGCTCTGCGACGCCGCGCCTGGCCGCGGCATCGTCGTGCTCCTGTGCTCGGCACCCGGCTCTGCACTCGTCGGGGCAGCTCGGGCTCTCCCGGCCAGGCCGAGCCGAGCCGCCTGCTCCGCGGCGGTGAGGCGGGAGGGAGGAGGGCGGCCTCTCGCTGAAAAAACGTGGCGCGTCTTCGTCGGATGGGGCTAGGACGAGCATGCATCCGTTCCAGGGCGTTCCAGAGCGCTCTCAGGGCGTTCCAGCTCGCTCTGAGAAGGCCGTGGCGCCGAGACATCCTCCAGAGCCGCCGGATCTCAGAGATTCCCGATTCATCTTCACCCGAATTCGTTCCTCGTCCTGGCTGCGTCTTACCTCTTGCCGAGATTCCGGGGGCGGCCCTGGATCGGCATCCGCGCGGTGTGTCCCTGCTGGGCTGCCGCCGAGGATACTGGGCCAAGGGCCTCTTCGGGCGTGGGCGCCCAAGATGTGGGAGCAGGGGCCAGAGCTCCAGGGGAACAATCGGCAGGCAGGCTCCTTGGCATCGCTCGGACGCGTGCATTCTTTCTCGGCGAGGACCATCGAGGAGCATCTTGCATCATCTTGCGAACAACAAGAAGCCGAACAATCCAAGGGGAATGGACGTCCGAGCGATGGCGACTCGTCTACGGGTCGCCGCCGGTCGACACGACGCGAACCCAACGTGCCCTGGTTCGGGGGCTGCCAGAGGTGCCCCTGGCCCAAGTTGTCCCTGGCTGTTCGTTCCATTCCGGAGCCCCTGAGGCCTCTGGACCTCGTGAATCAGGAGCGAAAGAAGGACGTACACGTACATGAATCCACGCTGGTTTCGAGAGTTCGCATTGCGCGAATGTTCGTGTCACGCGGCTGGTCTCGCGTTTCGAGGGACCGTGTTCATGTACATAGCTGGGCGCGTACGTCCTTTGTGGGCTCCCTCGTGAAGGGTGCTCGAAGGATTGCAAAAAACGAAGGATTGCAAAAAACCCTCCGTTGCAAAAAAACGGGTTTTTTTTTGCAATCCTTCGTTGAAGGGGTTTTTTTGCAATCCTTCGTTCCGTGGACCTCCCTGGAAATCCTGGGGGGCACCTTGGGCCAGAGGGCACGTCCAGCAGCACCCGACTGGTCAGGTCACGCCTCTTCTCTCCCGGACGCGTACCATCCAAGGGCGCCCTCGAGGGCGCGAAGTTATTCGCGCTTCGCGCTTCGCGGTCCTCGTTCCTTCTCCCCCTCCTCCTCGTCCTCCTTTTCTCCCTTTGGGGGGGCGGCGCGAGGGCGCGAAGTTATTCGCGCTTCGCGGAGCGCGAAGCGCGAAGTTGGGAGCCCTAGCGTACCATCATGCCATGCTTCCCAAACCACATTTCACGGATTCCCAGATTTGGAATCGGGAGTCTCCCCGGGACGGCATCCGCGGTACTGACGGGCCATGGGTTGAGATTTGGCAAGTTTGCCAGGCAGAGTTATTATTTGGCAGATCTGTTCCGCCTTGTCCCAGCGGCACGGGCCAGCCTGGAATACACTTTTATCGATTAAGGCCGACCACCCTTCGGGTCGTAATGAGTTTTTGATGTGCTATTTGCGAAGGATCATGCTTACTTCTAACGTCAGTTTCAGTGAGGTTATGACGATGAATCGATGCATCGATGTTTTGTGCATACAGCTGGCTATCTATCTCACTATCGATCGATTGATCTGACAGTAATTCCGCTTATCGGTCTCACCACCTATCTATCGGTCTCACCATCTATCGGTCTCATAGGGGAAACTACAGAGAGCCACGTAACAGCCACAGGACAACCACAGGGCAAGCATGAGACAAACACGGGATAACCACGGAAGAGCCGCGCGAACCACGGGACCACCACGGTACAACCAAGGGGGTAACCGCGGGAAAATCACGGAAGAACCACAGGAAATCGGCGGGACAACCGCAGGGACGACCGCCGAGACAACCGCTAGGACAACCGGCGACCAACCATCCCGCCGCCGTCGGGACAACCGCTGGGCAACCACCGAGCAACCATGGGATCACCCACGGGACAATTGTTGAGACGATCCTGGGACAGTTTGAGGTCGCGGGCGCGCGGAGGCGGCGAACCAAGTTGCCGTGAGCCACTCTTAGGTAGTAGAGATCCTCTCTCTCCCCTCGGGTTGCCTCGCCTCGCCCGAGCGACACGGTACGACATCGACATGTAATTGCTTCTTGGTGAGAGGGGATTTTGCATCACCTCGGCCTCTGCCCTCGACCTCCAATCCGTTTGTTTGGGCATCTATCTTCTCTATCTTCCGTAGAATGTTCCTATACACCACCACCGTGCCGGGGTAAATTCATTACAACTGAAATCCAGCTCTCTTTTACTAACGCACAGGCTTGCGCGTCTGTTGCAGAAAAGCCATCTGCAGGGGGGCAACCGGTGAAAAACAATTTGTTTCCCGAACCTATGGTGTATACCGTTCTACCAACAGTAACGAGGATTGCATATACACCATAGAAACGGCTATGGTGTATACGTCAAAAAGCCACAGGAAACCATCTACACCGTGCACCGGAATTTGTGGACTTTTTTTAACGGGTGCCGCGGGGTCGCTGCGGTTGTGGCGAGCCTGCATGTGACGCCCAGGATAAGACAAAACAAATTAGAATTAGTTTCATGTTTCGCAGAACAAGGTGGTGGTGTATAGATGCTTTCTCCGTATATCTCGGTGCGAATATCGAGTGGTGCAGTTGTTTCTGAGGGCGCGTTCCTGAGATTGTCATCGATTGTGGGCGAGTCTATTCTGAGGATACCGACGAGCTCGAGGCTGATTACGCACTCGGGCGCGCAGTGCAGGCCCCCCCCCCCTCTCTCTCTCGTTCGCTGTTCCGTCGCAGGCAGCTAGACGTCACCTCCATCTCTGGCCAGGGCCATCCTTGGCCCTGGATGGTGCACCGTCCCTCCGTGGTCGAGGCCGAGAGGCTGCACAGGCCATCCCGCGGCCCAGGACGGCAGTGTGCGGGGACGGCGGTGGTATACCACCGCCGTCCCGGGGTCTCCCGGCGCAGCGGGGCCCACCCTCCCGAGGCGTCTACAGCGACGTGGACGCCGCGGAGGCCGCGCGGCAGATGCTTCGCGCGGCGGGGCAGCGGGGACGGGGTCTTCCTCGATTGCCCTGCGTGCCTTTCCGCGCCATTTTGAGCTCATCATGAAACACCTTCAGCCGTGAGTGCCCTCGCCCGCCCTCGCGCGCCCCTGAGTGCTGCCAGACAACTAGTTTGTCGGGTGCCCCTTGACAACCCGAGCGCCCGTGCGACTTGTCTCTGCCGTGCTGCGACGAACAGTTTATTCCCGTGGCCCCCACAAGTGAGGAAGGAGAAGGAGCAAGGCGATTCAGATCAGCAGGGGGGCGAGGATCAGGAGAAGAAGGAAGACGACGACTAGGACGACGAGAGCGAGGCGCATGAGAACATCGACGACAAAGATAAGAGGACTGCGTGGAACTGGCCACGTTAAGGCGGCCCCGTGCACAGGCATGCTTGGCTTGCAGAGCCCCCCAGGGGGAGCCCGCGTTGCAAAAGCACGTCTCGAGCCCGAATCAAGTGCCGCCGGAGCCAGGGAGCAGAAGCGGCGCAGAGCGAGAGAACGGTGCTTCGAGGGGGGCAGCAGAAGGGTGAGGGCTGATGTATGGGATTATTCACCAAGCAGTGCTTGCACGCAGGGTCTCCTTGCTTGTCTTCGCAGGAACTGGGCCTGGCTGCCGGGCGAGCGGCTCCGTGGTCGCCGCCCCGTCGCGGCCTCGTCGCCGCCCGTAGTATTGGCCTTCGGCTCCGTGGTCGCCGTCAACGCCTTGTCGCCGCGATAAGGACTGGACCAAACAGATTCGTTTTTCTACGAGAATGTTCGGATCCCCCCCCCCCTGGATTTAACCGGCCACCTTTTCGTATTGCAGTTTGCACAGGATATTCCCCCACCGTCCATCCTACATTCGAATTCGTATTATCCCAGTCAAACCGGTAACGACCCACCCTTCACCTTTCAAAACATAGTATGCGCGCGCTCGTTTATCAACATCCTTAAGTTTTCAAGAATCCCTTGCAACAGATGGGGAAAAAGCGCATGCCGAAATCTTTCAAGCATTCTAGGCTTCGTAAGGATTTCAAAATCGAGTGTCCCGACACACACACATGGTTTCGCAACAAGAATTTTCAAATCAAGTTTTCGATCGTGCTCTTGCGAATTCTCCAGAGAACCATCGGCTCCTCAACATGCTCATCAAGTGCTACCAAATGGGCCTCCCGCGCGTGCATGTCGAAATTGTTCGAGCACCCTTGCGCGCGTGCTGTGGCAATAATCCCTTACAACTGGTGGGGTGGAGTTCAAAAATGCGCGTCGTCGCGCTCGCATGTCGAAGTCCTTCAAACACAGTAGGTTTCGTAAGAATTTCAAAATCGAGTGCCCCGAGAATAGATAACACAAATGTTTTGCAACATCAGTTTTCCCAAACAGCTGTGCTCGTGTTCTTGCGAGTTTTCCAGGAGACCAATGGTGTTTCATTAATTCCATTAAGTTTGGCCAAACGGGCCTTTCGCGCCGCATGTCGATATCATTCGAACGCCTTTCCTTGCGCGCGTGCTGGGGGGCACGATCTGTGAAAAATAATTCCATGCGGGCCACTCTCGCGCGTCGGCCGCGCGTGCATGTCGAACTATTTCTAAAACCTTCATCACCGCAGCGAGGGCGCCGTCATCATCGTCGGCGTGGTCAGCATTGGCGCCGTCCCTGACCATGCCGTCGTCGTTGTTATTACCGTCACCAGCGTCGCTATTATCATCATCGTGTCTACCGTTGTCGGCGGTGCCATGGTACCGCGTCCGCCCAAGAGGTCAGCGCCACCGCGGCCGCGTCGGCCGCTGTTAAGTGCCCAGAGGTCAGCGCCACCGCGGCCGCGTCGGCCGCGCCGACCTAGCTGGCCGCAGCGCGCGCGAGCATGCGCGGGCTAGCGCGGCCGCAGAGATGCACCAAGTAACACCAAGCATTCTTCGCAATCGCCATTGCATGCGTTTCGCAAAACAAGTTGCGGCTGGGTGGACGGGATGATTGCGCGAGCAGTGGAGTTGACAATTGCGAGCTTCACAAGTGATGTCTCCTTTCTAATAGGAGAATAGGTTCTATCACCCTTCCCCCCGGGGTTACAGATCACCCCGGAAAACATGTAAAACACAGGGTTCTGACAAAATGTCCATCCTATCTGGGAGTTCTTACTATCCCAGCCAAACCGGCGGCCCCCCCCCCCGCCATCTTCTGCAACAAAAACTATGCGCGCGCACTTGTTTATCACAAATCATAAGTTACCAAGAATTCAGAATCCCTTGCGAAACACGGGACGAAGTGCACTCGCGCGCGTCGTCGCGCGTGCATGCGCGTCGTCGCGTCGTGTGCATCGAGGTTCCCCCAAAACATACAAAAGCACAGGGTTTCGCAACACTGGTTTTCTAAAATAGCTTACGCGCGCGTTTGCGACATCTTGAGAAAACCATGTGTTTTTCAAGGTTTTCAGCAATACTACCAAACGGGCTTCGCGTGCATATCGGAATTTTTCGAACGCCCTTGCGCACGTGCTGTCGCGCGGAACCTCTCCAAACAATGAGACACAGTGCGCGCGCACGTCGTCGCGCGCGCATGCCGAAATCATTCAAACACATTCGTTTTCTGAGGAATTGCAAAATCGAGTGTCCAAAACACATACAACATCACAGGGTTTCGCAACGCGGATTTTCAACAAAAGCGTGCGCGCGCGCTCTTGCGTCGTCGTCGTCGTCGCTGTTCTTCGTCGTCGTCGTCGTCCGCTTTCGCGTCGTCGTCGGTTCCGTCGTTGTTGTCGTCGTGGTCGTCTTTCTCCTGCCTCGTCGTTGTCGTCGTCGGCGCCGCCGTCTTCCCTCGTCGTTCGCGTCGTCACCGTCCTCCCTCCTCCCTCGTCGTTGTCGTCGTTGTCGCCGTCGTCTTCCTCCCCCCCTCCCTCGTCATCGTCGTCGTCTTCATTGGCGTCGTCGTCGTCGTCGTCGTCGTCGTCGTCGTCGGTGGCGTCGTCGTTGTCGTCGGCGTCGTCGTCGTCGGCGTTGTCATCATCATCGTCTTCGGCGTCTTCGGAGTCGTTGGCGACGTCGTCGGTGTCGTCGTAGTCGTTGTCGGCGGCGGCTCGTCGTGGTTGCCGCTGTCGTCGGCGCCGGTGTCCCTGCCAAGTGCCCTTTGGTACCTACCGTCACGGTCTTAAGAGGTCTTGTGACCAAGTTGCGGGTGGGAGGGTGGGATGGTTGCACGAGCAGCGGAGAGGACAGTTGCAGGACAATCGCAGTGAATTTTCCTTGAAAAACAATAGACTCTACCCCCCCCCCCCCGGACTTAACGCTTCGCCCTGGGATAGTATCATTTCACATATATATCTATATGTATACATATATATATATATATATTCTGCACTCGTCCATCCTGAATATGGAATCGTACCATCCCAGGCAGGCCGGTTTCTCCCCCTTGAGGTTCCTTTGTGAAAAACACTATGCGGTGACATTTTTTGTTGTAACGTAGCACATTTTCACGAATCCCTTGCCAAAAATGGGACGAAGTGCTCGCGCGCGTTGTCGCGCGCGCATGCCGAAATCCTTCAACAACCTTCGGTCCCTGAGAGATTTCAGATTTGAATTTCCCAAAAAAGACATACAAAAACACATGGTTTCGCAGCACTGATTTGCTAAAAAAGCTTACGCGCGAGCTCTTGCGACATCTTACGAAAACCATAGGTTTTCCAAAAGTTTTACAACATGCTACCAAACGGGCTTCGCGAGAGCATGTCGAAATCTGTCGAACGCCCTTGCGCGTGTGCCGTCGCGGGGATCTTCGGCAAAAAACGGGACGAAGTGCAGACGCGCGCGTCGTCGCGGGCGTATGCCGAAATCCTTCAAAACTCTGCGGTTTCGGAAGGATTTCGAAATCGCGCGCCCGAAAAACATACAAAAACACAAGGTTTCGCAACACGGGTTTTCAACAAAAGTGTGCGCGCGCGCTCTTGCGTCATTGTCGTCGTCGTCGTCCTCCCTCCTCCCTCGTCGTCGTCGTCGTCGTCGTCGCCGTCGCCGTCGTCGTCTTCTGTCGTTCCTCGTCGTCGTCGTTTTGGCGTCGTCGTCGCTTCCGTCGTCGTTGTCGCCGTGGTCGTCCTTCCTCCCTCGTTGTCTTCGTCGGCGTCTCGTCGTTGTCCCTCCTATTTCGTCGCCGTCGTCGTCGTCGTCGTCGTCGTGGTCTTCACTCCTCCCTCGTCGTTATCCTCCTCCCTCGTCGTCGTCGTCCGTCGTCGGCGTCTCGTCGTCGTCCCTCCTATTTCGTCGCCGTCGTCGTCGTCTTCGTCGTCGTTGTCATCGTCGTCGTCTTCCCTCCTCCCTCGTCGTTGTCGTCGTCGGCGTCGCCGTCCTTCCTCCTTCTTCGTCGTTGGCGTCGTCGCCGTCTTCCCTCCTCCATCGTCGTTGTCGTCGTTGTCGCCGTCGTCGTTTTTTCTCCTCCCTCGTCGTCGTCTCCGTTGGCGACGTCGTCGTCGTCTTCGTCGTCGTCGTCGGCGTCGTTGTCGTCGTCGTCGTCGGTGTCGTCGTCGTTGTCGTCGTCGAAAACATTGGAGACGTCGTCGGTGTCGTCGCAGTCGGTGTCGGCGGCGCCGTCGTCGTCGATGTCGCTGTCGTCGTCGGCGTCGGTGTCGTGGCCAAGTGCCATGTGGTACCTACCGTCACGGTCTTGTCTGAAGAGGTTTTGCGACCAAGTTGCGGGTGGGAGGGTGGGATGTTTGCACGAGCAGTGGAGAGGACAGCTTCCAGACGGTCAAGATTAATTGCACCACGTAGATTGCACCACGTTGACGGCACGTAATAGATTGCACAATGTATATGCTGGGTGGCAAAACACAGTTTGCACCACAGAGTGTGCACCACGTATATTGCTTTACATGGCTTGCGCAGCATATATTGTACCACGTAGATTCTCTTTTCTAAAAAAGGATAGACTCCACCCCCCCGGACTTAACGCTCCCCCTTGGGATAGTATAGTTTCAATATGTGTGTATATATATGTATATATATATATATATATATATATATATATTCTGCACACTCGTCCATCCTAAATATGAAACCATATCATTCCAGGCAGGCCGGTTTCCCCCCCTGCGGTTCCCTTTTAAAAAACCACGATGCGGTGACATGCTTTGTTCTACCATAGCACTTTTTCGCGAATCCTTTGCAACAAATAGGACGAAGTGCACACGCGCGCGTCGTCGCGCGCGCATGCCGAAATCCTTCAAAAACTCATGGTTCCGGAGAGATTTCAAAATTGAATTCCCCAAAAAATTACAAAAACACATGGTTTCGCAACACTGAGTTGCTAAAAAAGCTTACGCGCGAGCTCTTTCGAAATCATAAGAAAAACCATAGGTTGTCCAAGATTTTCACCAAATGCTACCAAACGGGCTTCGCGCGCGCATGTCGAAATCTGTCGAACGCCCTTGCGCGTGTGCCGTCGCGGGGATCTTCTGCAAAAAACGGGACGAAGTGCAGACGCGCGCGTCGTCGCGGGCGTATGCCGAAATCCTTCAAAACTCTGCGGTGTCGGAAGGATTTCGAAATCGTGCGTCCGAAAAACCTACGAAAAACACAAGGTTTCGCAACACGGGTTTTCAAGAAAAGTGTGCGCGCGCGCTCTTGCGTCGTCGTCGTCGTCGTCGTCCTTCTTCCTCCCTCGTCGTCGTCGTCGTCGTCGTCGTCGCCGTCGTCGTCTTCTGTCTTTCCTCGTCGTCGTCGTCTTGGCGTCGTCGTCGCTTCCGTCGTCGTTGTCGCCGTGGTCGTCCTTCCTCCCTCGTTGTCTTCGTCGGCGTCTCGTCGTTGTCCCTCCTATTTCGTCGCCGTCGTCGTCGTCGTCGTCGCCGTCGTGATCTTCACTCCTCCCTCGTCGTTATCCTCCTCCCTCGTCGTCGTCGTCCGTCGTGGGCGTCTCGTCGTCGTCCCTCCTATTTCGTCGCCGTCGTCGTCGTCTTCGTCGTCGTTGTCGTCGTCGTCGTCTTCCCTCCTCCCTCGTCGTTGTCGTCGTCGGCGTCGCCGTCCTTCCTCCTTCTTCGTCGTTGGCGTCGTCGCCGTCTTCCCTCCTCCATCGTCGTTGTCGTCGTTGTCGCCGTCGTCGTTTTTTCTCCTCCCTCGTCGTCGTCTCCGTTGGCGACGTCGTCGTCGTCTTCGTCGTCGTCGTCGGCGTCGTTGTCGTCGTCGTCGGTCGTCGTCGTCGTTGTCGTCGTCGAAAACATTGGAGACGTCGTCGGTGTCGTCGCAGGCGGTGTCGGCGGCGCCGTCGTCGTCGATGTCGCTGTCGTCGTCGGCGTCGGTGTCGTGGCCAAGTGCCATGTGGTACCTACCGTCACGGTCTTGTCTGAAGAGGTTTTGCGACCAAGTTGCGGGTGGGAGGGTGGGATGTTTGCACGAGCAGTGGAGAGGACAGCTTCAAGACGGTCAATATTAATTACACCGCTTAGAATGCACCACGTTGACTGCACAACAAATACTGCGCAACATAGATTGCCAGAAAAATTGTCTGGGGGCCACGTTGGCTGACTTTCTCATAGGCTTTTGGCTTCCAAAGGCTCTACTTAGCACACTTACACGACGGCGCGCGGCGACGGGCCAGTTTCCCACCGAAACCCGTCAGTTCCGCACGATTTTGATACAGAATCGCCAAGGGTCATAACTAATGCATGAGGGCGCGCTGCGAAGGCCCCGTTTCTGGCGCAAACCCTTCGGGCCGCGTGCGCGCGGCCGCCGTTCCCTGCAGTACGTGGATTGTTTATGTGTGGGTTCCCTTTTGATTAGGGCCAAGCCGCATCGAGTAATTTTTTGGATGTTCGTGGCGCCATTCCAATGGTCACGTTAAGAGTTCCGCCGCAAACGTTGAGAACCGCCGACCACAACGAAGCGCTCAAATCGAGCAACGCACCATCTGTGGGCAGGGTTGTCGCATCCAGTTGCCGCATTTGGGAAACGTGCGCCCCCCTCCTCCTCCTCCACCTCCTTCTCCTCCTTCTCTCCCTCCACCTCCTCCTCATCCTCCTCATCATCATCATCATCATCATCCGCCTCCTCGGGTCGCCTACGGCCCCTGGGGGAACCGTGCACCCCCCGCCTCCCCACATCAGCACTCACTTGAATTCCGGTCGATGCCGAGGGCCGGCACGCCACCAGGCGGCCCCCCGCAGCCATCTATGCCCGCCCCCTTCGCGAGCAGGAGCCCCGCGCGCCCTCCCAGCAGGCGCAGAGCCGCTTGGTCTCAATGGTTACGGCGATGGCAATGGAAGTGGGAGCAGGATAACCAGAACGTCTAGGCCTCCCAGATGGGGACCGAGTAGATGGGGTCGGAGGATCGCGCTGCATCGCCGATGCATCGCCGATGTGGCTCGATGTGGAGCCCTATCTTCTCCACGCCGACGGCGCCGATGCCTCGCCGACGTCGCCGATGCATCCCTGGTGCATCGCCGATGCATCGCCGATGTATCGGCAACACGGCGCGATCATCCGACCCCATCTACTCCGACCCCATTTAGGAGGCCTCTAGAACGACGACGAGGAGGACAAGGATGAAAGACATGGAGCAGACAGCGTACAGCCTTGCGAGAGGGGAAGGTGGGCTACCTCCACGCTCACAAAGTTGTGCATCGAGATTTGAAGCTCGAGAATTTCTTGTACGAGCGGAAAGAGGCACGCCTGGCGATGGCGGGGGCAGTTTTCTAGCCACCCGGTTCCTTCTCCATGTTTTGCCCCTCCTGCCCGACCTTTCTCTCTCTCTCTCTCTCTCCTGTTTGTCATCATTGCTCTGCTTGTGGATGCTGGTTCGGACGAGCAGGGGTCACAAACCACGCGTGCCACGTGCATTTCGATCGTGCATTACGAAGAGACGATGACGTTGTGGCGCCTGTGTGGGAGGCTGCTCTGAACACCGATGGCGGTTGTGAGCATTGAGAGCTGAAGGCCGACTGTCTATCTTGATGCCTTTTCAGGGATGAAGTTTTCTGCGACGGCGCCGTCTTTTCTGCTATTCCCCCCGATGTCTCCTCTACACCCCTTTCCTTTAATCCGCCTCCCTCATCCTCACCCATGTGTCGACTCAGTTGTTTTACAAACAGGCCTCTAAGCAGAGCGTCCCATGTTGGTGCCTTTGATGTTCTACATCGACATGGTGTGCGCCCGAGGAGTTCGAGATGGTGAGGGTGGTTGTCTTGGCTGTCCTCGCAGTCAATGTGCTCGACGGTCTTCGGTAATCGGTCAGATCCTTCGCTGCCGTCGCCAGGCTCTACTGGAAGCTCACTGTACAGAACAGGGGAGCCAGGATTGGTGTTAGCGGGCTCTGTCGTGGCATGAAGACGAATCCGTTTTGGCGAATCGTTTCTCGTGGCCGTGCCCGCGGCGCTTTCGCATTGTAGGGTATAGGCCTTTGGCTGGCAGACGATTGGGCATCGACACTCTTCAGGGGAATACCGTCTTCCCAAGCTGCCCTGGGGTGATTATCGTACTAGCTGCTTTTTTGTTGCGGTTCGCCTCAGCCCTCAGGCTCGGTGCGATGGGTCTCGCCCTGCGGTTCGGTCTTCTTTGCGGCGCGGTGATTTTCGCCGCCGCATGTGCGCTCCGATCACGCTTGCGCCATTGTTGGGCCCCGTCAGTATGTTCTTCCTCCTTTTGATATCCGCTCTGGGTTCATTGAACACGTTAACATCAGTGTAGGTTCTCATGTACGGCTTATTGCGACACGTGTGCCTTGTGTCGTTGGTAGGATTTACGCATATGGTTGTTGTTGTGATGGCGGCATCACTGACATACACCATATTGGCTATCGTCGTCTTTGATCCAGAGGCTGACCCAAATCCGCACTTGAAGCTCATCGACTTCGGTTTCGCGAAGGTCTGGGAGGACGGGCCTGGGCGGTAGAGGAAGTCAGCGAAGGATCACTCAAGACGGGATCTTATTTTACTCAGGCATGCTTCATCTGTAGATGACCAGGAGTCCACGGAGTTGCAATGGACAACATGCTCCCATGGATTCGGCTTCCAGTGCATCTCACCTCTCCGTTTCGAGACGCGGGTGGGATGTTGTTTGGCGCGTGTTGGGTGCCTTTGGGGCAACATGTGAAGGAACGTCTCGGAGTCCATGTGGGTGCCTGTTGCGCCGTCTTGGAAGCCTCCTAGGCTGCCCTCATGCAATTTTATGAGTTGGGCCTCTTGGGGCGTCTCAGAGCCTCCTGGGCCGTTTTCAGGCTGCCTCGGGGCGTTTCTGGGACGTTTGGGGCGGAAGACTGCGTCCAGACTGGTGTCATTTGCGTGTTGCTTCTTCCTCTTATTATTCTAAGTCGCTTGAAGCGATAAGATCTTATGCCCCAGCGCCTGACTTTGCTTTCTGGCAGAAGAACTGATATGGCAGCTGACGCGGCTCTCTACTTGTTTCTCCTTCTTTGGGCTCCCTCTGTGTTTCTCCTTCTCTTCCATGCATGATCCCAAGAGGGCCCCCTAGGTTTCCAAGAGGGCCCCAAGATGCGCCCAGGGGGTTCCAAGTCAAATCCCAAGAGGCTTCCAGAGACTCCGTAGCCATATTGGCTCAAGCCACTTGGGCACAGGCGGTTTTGGCTTGAGATTCTTTGGTAGGCCGCCAGGGTGTGCGTTCGCCTTGCCAGCCTATCGCTCCTCGCGCGAGTGGGTCCAGGATGCGCATGGCCAACGTGGCTGGTGTGACAGGCGCAGGTCCAGGAGGCGTCGGTGGCGTCGTGGCCACTCCCACTGTGCCGGCTGCCTGCAGAGTTTCTGTGGCAATCGGTGTCGGTGCCAATGTCGCGATCTATACCTACATTTTGATGGTCAAGCCCTGGCTTGAAACGACAGGTGTGCTCTGCCCGCGCCATTATTTGGCTGAGTTATCGGACTGGGTGATGGTCGCGCTTGTCGCGGCCGTCTCGTTCGGGATCGCGGGACATGCAAGCCGACGTTGGCGCTTGCAATGCTTCATTCGTAGGTTGATTGCTGCCGCGGTCATCCTGTCAGTAGCGAGGGTGGCCACGGTGATGGCCTTCCAAGGGACTTGTGCAATTCCTGAGATGGCCTGGTGCTGCATTTTCATCTCCATCGGCTTGAACATTCATCTGGTGGCCCATGATGTGACCGAGACGGGAGAGGACGATCTGGAGGTGGCCAAATCGGAGGTGGCCAAGGTTTTGGGTGGTCTCACCGCCTCCACGTGGTCGGATGAAGGCGCGGACGGCAACTTAGAGTCCGGGAATCCCGTTGCTTGCTCAATATGTTTGTGCGACTTGGAGCCTGGGGACAGCGTGAAAACCACTCCGTGTAACCATTCATTCCATGAGGGATGCTTACAGAGTTGGCTGCTCTCTTCAATGTGCAGGTGGAAGGCACAGTCCTGTGCTGTGTGCCGACGAGATCTACGCTGCATTAGTTGACTTGCGGACTCTGAGCGACCTTCATTCGGCGATGTCAGCTAAGCCCTTGTTACCATTTTGCCAGCTTGTACGGCTGAGCTTTCGAGCGTGCCAGCTTCCACGTACGAGCGTGTACGAATGAGCTTGCACGAATGAGCTTGCGAGCTTGCGTGCCAGTCCTTCCTGCCTTGGGTTATCCGAGTGCCGGTTCTCTAATTCGTGTTTTTGCGTTCGGCCTCTCTCCGAAGCGTTTTTTTCTGTGATAGTGTATTGTGTATGCGCCCGATGGCACTCCTAATCAGGGCGCCAACACTCGACGAGGGGGGAGTACCCACATTGCATGCAAGTTCGCACACCACCGATACCCCAAATTCGTGCCATCTTATGCCGTTCGATCGAGTGTTTGACGCGATTGGGAGTGCAGGAGTCCGAGAACGTAGTCTGCTTTCCGGGCGGCACCCGCCCGCCCGTCGGACACGCGTAGCTGGTGCTTAGCAGGTCTGAACCGCTGGTGATCACCACCCACCAAACCACCCCAACCCAACCCGAAGGCTCAGATTTACCCTCGATTTCCAGTGGGGGGGGGTCCGGAAACATCGAGAAAACACGTGTGGAACCCTTACCCCCCCCAACCCGAAATTCGGGTCTTCGGGTTGGGTTGGGGTGGTCTGGTAGGTAGTCAGGTGAGGAAGCGAGGGATTGAAAGGGGGGGCGATCAGTCATTTGATGCGCTGGCTAGGCAGGTCTCTATGGAGCTGCCTGGGAGTGTCGGTCTCGGTGGACGAGTGTCTTCATGGTCGCACCAGGCAGGCTGTGAACTTTTTCGATGCTGATAGCTAGATCGGCGGACTCTTGTTTTCCTTTCCGCCGGGGATTTTCACTGCTCCTCGGCGATGCCACTGTGAAGGTATCTGGTGCTCGCTCGGACATATGGGTGAAACGCGACAAAAAACATAAGCTTCCAAAGACTCCCAAGCGGTCTAAAAGAGGCCCAAGATGCTCCAAGAGGCTCTCAGGACTGCTAAGAGACGCCAGAGACGCCCCAAGAGGCCTCCAAGAAGCGACCAAGAGGGGCACCAGAGGGCCCCCAAGAGGCGATTTTGACAGTCTCAGAGGAGGGGGCTAAAATCCCTCCAGTCCTTTCGGGCGTGAGTGGTGTTAATACCCCCCTCTTCCAACCCCCTTCTTCCTCTTTGGTACCCCCACCCCCTCAACCTGGACGGGGCCTTTCGCGAGCGGTCAGAGCGTCCAAGATGGCCCAAAGAGCCAAAGATGGCCACCAAGATCGTTGAACATACCCCAACATGGCCACATATAGCTTGCAACATACATCCAAGAGGTTTCAAGATCCCTCCAAGACGACTCGAAGTTGCCAAAGGGCCTCCCAAGTACGCCCTGGAGAGGCCAGCAGCCGTCCAAAACCTATTAGAAGTCAATGTTTTTGTTTTCGGGCGTAGCCCGAATTTGTTTCTCTCGAGGTAATCTGGACTGCACTGGACTGAAGTGAAGTGAAGTGAACTGAACTGAACTGAACTGAACTGAACTGGACTGACTGGTCGCACTCGTTACGCGACGGTTATATTTTCGGCGGCAGGGGGCGCAATCTAGGGCGCGACCTATTGGAAACGGTTTTATTCTCGGCCCCAGAGGGATCAACCTATGGCGCAACCGCCAGGAGACGGTGTTATTCTCGGCGGCCGAGGGCGCAACCTATGGTGCAACCGATCGGAGACGGTTATATTCTCGGCCGCCGCAACCGGTGGGAGACGAATTGATTCTCGGCGGCCGAGGGCGCAACATACGGCGCAACCAATAGGAGACGGTTTTATATTCTGCCGCCGATTGCGCAACCGATGGCGCAACCGATAGGAGACGGTTTTATTCTCGGCCGCCGACGGCGCAACCTATGGCGCCACCGATAGAAGATTGTTTCATTCTCTTGCACAGCTGTGCTCTAGAGCTCGGATATCTTTATTTTCGTCGTGGCTCGTGGTGGTTCGTCCCCCTCGGCCCCTCCCCTGAGCCTGAGCCCCAGCTCCCCTGGGCCACCCCCCCTTGGGACCCCCCCTCCGTCCAGGCTTCCCAGGGCAGGGCCCCCCTGGGCCGCGGAACCCTTTATTTTCGTCGTGGTTCGTGATGGTTCGTCCCCCTCGGCCCCCCCCTGAGCCTGAGCCCCAGCTCCCCTGGGCCACCCACCCTTGGGAGCCTTCCTCCGTCAAGGCTTCCCAGGGCAGCCCTCCTGGGCCGCGGAACCCTTTATCTTCGTCGTGGTTCGTGGTGGTTCGTCCCCCTCGACCCCCCCTGAGCCTGAGCCCCAGCTCCTCTGGGCCACCCCCCCTTGGGGGGAGCCTTCCTCCGTCCAGGCTTCCCAGGGCAGCCCCCCCGGGCCGCGGAATCCTTTAGTGGTTCGTCCCTCCTTTCTGTGCAAGAGCCAGGGCACGCGTGCCACTTGTTCTCGGCCCCAGCGGGCGCAACCTATGGCGCAACCGATAGGAGACGGTTATATTCTCGGCCGCGGAGGACCCAACTTATGGCGCAACCGGTAGGAGACGGTTTTTATATTGGTGGCCGAAGGCGCAACTTGTGTCGCAAACGCAAGGAAACGACCTTATTCCCGGCTACCCAGGGCGCAACCGATGGCGCAACCAATTGGAATCGGTTTTTCTTCGGCTTTCGAAGGCGCAACCTGTGGCGCAACCAATAGGAGACGATTCAGGGCACAACCTATGGCGCAACCAATAGGAGACGATTTTATTCTCGGCCGCAGAGGGCGCAACCTGTGGCACAACCGATACGAGACGGTTTTATTCTCGGCCCCAGAGGGCTCAACCTATGGCGCAACCGCTAGGAGACGGTGTTATTCTCTGTGGCCGAGCGCGCAAGCTATGGCGCAACCGATAGGAGAAGGTTATATTCTCGGCGGCCGAGGGCGCAACCTATGGCGCCACCGATAGGAGACAGTTCTATTCCCTGCGGAGCCGGGTGAAATTCCGTGCCCGCCGGTGATTGAGTGAATGAGTGATTGAGTGAATTGAGTGGTTTTTCGAACCGCCCGCGGGAGCGCGAAACCTCAACCAGGCGACAGATTTCAATCCAGCCGCGAAATCGTAATCGCAACCGCAACCAGGCGACGCATTTCAACCCGCCCGCGCACTCGCAACCGAAACCGAAGCAAGGCGACATATTTCAACCCGCCAGCGCAACTGTAACCGTAACAAGGCGGCACATGTCAACCCGGCCGCGCAACCGCAACCGCACCCCGGAGACACATTTCAACCAGCAACCGCATAACCACAACCGCAACAAAGCAACACAGTTCAACCCGGCCGCGCAACCGCAACCGCACCCCGGAGACACATTTCAACCAGCAACCGCATAACCACAACCGCAACAAAGCAACACAGTTCAACCCGGCCGCGCAACCGCAACCGCAACCAGGCGACACATGTCAACCCTCACGCACAACCGCAACCGCAACCCGGCGACACATTTCAACCCGCCCGCGCAACCGCAACCGCATCAGCAGCCAGGCGACACATTCCAACCCGCCCGCGCATCCGCAACCGCAACCGCAACCAAGCGACACATTTCAACCCGCCCGCGCGCGTAATTGCAACCGGAGTCAGGCGACACATGTCAACCCGCCCGCGCAACCGCAACCGCAACAGCAACCAGGCGACACGTTTCAACCCGCCCGCGCAACCGCAACGGCAACCCGGCGACACATGTCAACCCGTCCGCGCGTACTCGCAACCGCAACCAGACGACACATGTCAACGCGCCCGCGGAACCGCAACCAGGCGACATTTCAACCCGGCCGCGGAACCGCAACCGCAACCGCAGCCAGGCGACAAATTTCAACCCGCGCGCGCAACCGCACCCGCAACCGCAACCCAGCGACACGTTTCAACCAGCAACCGCAACCACAACCAGGCGACATATTCCAACCCGCCCGCGCAACCGCAATCGCAACCGCAACCAGGCGACGCAGTTCAACCCGCGCGCGCAACCGCAACCGCAACCGGAGTCAGGCGACACATGTCAACCCGCCCGCGCAACCGCCCGCAACCGGGCGACACATTTCAACCTGCCCGCGCAATTGCAACCGCAACCAGGCTATACGTTTCAGCCCGGCCGCTGTCGCGCGCAGCCGCAAATGCCCGTCGCCGGCGCGTGGTTGGCGCCCCCACCGCGCGTCCGAGGCGCCCGCCATGCGGCTTTCTCGGGCTGCGCAAGAGGGACGGGGAGGACGAAGAGGACGCTGAGCAGGAGTAGGAGGGGGAGGAGGAGCAGGAGGAGGAGGAGCGGAGGGGGAGGAGGAGCAGGAGGTGGAGGAGGACGAGGAGGAACAGGAGGATTAGGAGGAGGCGGAGGAGGAGGAGGAGGATGAGGAGGAGGAAGAGGATGATGATGATGATGAGGAGGAGGAGCAGGAGGAGGAGGAAGAGAGGAGGGAGGAGGGAGGAGGAGGAGGAGGCACAAGAGGAGAGCGGTGGGGCGGGAGGAGGGGGCATGAAGACGAACAGGAGGAGCAGGAGGAGGAGGAGGAGAAGGAGGAGGAGGAGCGGGAGGAGGAGGAGGAGGAGGAGGAGGAGGAGGAGGAGGGAGCAGGCGAATGAAAATGATGATGTGGTGCAGAAGCAGGAGGAGGAGCAGGAGATGCGAGGATATGGGGTGCACGGTTCACCCGGAAGTGGTCCTCCCGCACGCGGCGGCCAGCCGACCCGAATCGCGCCTTTACCTGGTCATCCACGCTCCCCGCGTGGCGGAGCCTATCAGGGTCGACTTCACCGTCGTCAGCGCGCTCCCCCAGGACGAGCTGGAACGCAGGGCCGCCCGGCGCGCCGGGGTCGCGGCCGCGGCGGCGGAAAACGCCAAGCGGACGCGCTACCTGGGCCTGCGGATGGTGCCGTTCGCGGTCGAAGACCACGGCTGCTTCGGCGAGGACGCCCTGGCCTTGGTGCGGCTGCTGGCTCCGCGGCTGGACAATGAGCGGTCGGCGGCCATCCGCCGGCTGCAGCAAGCTCTGGGCAGTGTGCTACAGCGCCACGCCGCGGACGCCGTGCTGGCGGCCACGCAGCACCGGGCCTGGTGGGCCCCGCGCGCAGAGCGCTGAGGGCACCTCTGCTGACGCTGGCGAGCGCCGCGCCGAGCCGCGGGGGCAGCCGAGCCAGGGGCAGTCGTTGCTGCCGCCGCTGTTGCTGCGAGCCGGGCCGGCCGGCGGAGCTGGGCGCTGGCCGGCCGCGCTGACCGAGGCGGGCTCTGGGCGCAGAATAGGCGGGGGCGCAGGCGCCGCGGCGCGGCCGGGCGGCCGGGCGCTGGGCGGGGCGCCGGGCGCGGGCAACCGCGAGAGACGCCCGACAAGGCCGCCACTGGGCGCTGGAGGGCGCCCGGCGCGGCGCTGGATTGGGGGCGGCGCAAAAGGAGGAGGAGGAGGAACTCCCCTACGTTGTCCTCGCGGTCGACCTGGTGTTCCCGCGCAACCCGTGTAACAAAGCTATAGGCCCTGCGGGCGCACCCCCTCCTCCCCGGGGGCGGCCTGCCGCTGAGCGGTGGGCCGCGCCTGGG